AATTAGGAAGTGAAACTAGGACTTTTTATCGCATGACATCCCAAAGCACCTATTCTGCAGTCACTGTTCAGGGGACTATCTAGCTAAGTATTTTACCTCCTACTCAATTCAAGAAACACTTGAAAGCCTACTAGACAAAAATAACTTTTCAGTGTAAAAAATACTTTTCATACTACATATCTGATTTCAGTAAACTTCAGTGCAAATTTCTGGAAAGTTGTAGCTGTACTGTACAATTTAATAATGTCCTAGAATTCCTATCAACAGATTGCGAGGTTGAGCTGAATAGTTCATAATGTCTTGGTCTATAGTAAGCTTGCTACACCATGATATTTTGAATTCTCTTCAGAAGCTTTAGGAAATCTTGTTAGACTCAGCCTGGCTATTTTTGTCCCCTCCCTGAAGTTTGCTTTTCTAGAAATATCATTAAATGCAGGCCTGACAATAGTCAAGCCCAGACAAAGGCTCTACCTGGTTCATGAAGGATGAAAGAGAAAGAAAAGTGGATGCTGTATTTTCAGTGCTTCTTTGGGAGCTCTGGGAGCATGTGTAGCTTTGATTAATTTGGGATTCACAGAATGTCAGGTGAGCTCAAGCAACACATTTAACATTGTCAACTTCAGAAAATGTCAACAGCATTTTGATTTTTCTGCTGCTTGTATTCCTTTCCTCAAGTCCTGAGGCACTACCCTGACCACCCAGCTGTCCCAGAAAAAATGCTGACAAAGCAATTGTTGTTCCCTAAATTCTCTCTTCCTTAATGAGGACAGGGAAATAGAGTCCTGGCACTGCATTAAACCCCTAGCTTTTGCTTCTTGTGCGTTGACTAGCAGAGTGACATTTTGTTCTCTCAGTCAGCCTTTCCTCCACCAGCAGATCTTCCACCTTCCATCCCATATAATACTTCCACAGAAGTACCCGGGCCACCCAGGGACCCTGATCGTGACTGTGGAGAATACCAATCAGTGCCCCTAGCTGTGACCTTTTTTTGTTGCATCACTATTTGACCTGATACAGTCAGAGAGCTGAGCAATGACTGCTGTGCAGCCGGGGGCATTTTCCTCTAAAGGAAACTTTCTGCATAGTCCTTTGGTTGAGAACTGGCCAAATCTTTCTGAAAGCAACAGACAACTGGCCCTAGAGTCAACCCTTTTGTTCTTACAATGAAAACTACAACCTGAACACGGTCCAAATCTTCCCAGAAAGTCACACCTCCTTTGCACCACCCATCAGGTATTTTTGCTTTATTTGTTTTCTTGGAAATAAAAATAAAACAAAAGCCTATTATGAGAGTAGTATCCTCATTCTGAAGCGTATTAAAAATATAACAAAGGCTGTCAATGTAATTCAAAGTCATACAGTAATAATCCCTATTTTTAATGCCTCAGCCCTTACATTGAGAGTCCCTTTGTTGTGACTAGGGTCGACTCATAGCTTCCTTCTGTTACAAGGCCGAATTCTTTCTTAATGCTCCAGTAGACTCACCTGCTTGTATTTCCACCACAGTGAGATTGGGTGGATGAGTTAATTCCACAGCTGAATCAGGAGCAGTAATTACCAACAGTGCACAAAGATCAGAAAAAGCCACTGCTTCTGCCTGACACAGTGTTTGTGAAAGTTCACCTGAGACCTGAGGCTAAGCTGGTTTGCTGTGCTCTCCATCCCTGCCACCTCCTCCCCTTAGCACTTGTCCTCTCCGTTCTGTGTCACAAGCTCAGTTTTTGTCTGTGTGACTGATTTGTTTTGGAGGGAAGGCCGCCTTTTCTCTCCCCAGCTGCTCCTTGGCCTTCTCCAGGTGCTGGCCTGCATGAATGTGTCTCTGGCTGCATCCCCCTGGAACATCAGCAAGGTGCCCCCTTCTCCTACACCCTGAACAGTTCCTGGAGGTACAGATAGTTAGATGCCATTTCCGAATTTGCCAAAGTATTGTCTTCCATATTGGAAACTTGCCCTACTCTCTTAGACCTTAATGATAGTAGAGTTCCTTATTTACTTGCCTATTTTTTTACGTTTGTCATCCTGGTTTATGGTGAACATTTAAAAAACAGCACTTAGGACCAGCAGGTGGCATGGTTAAGGCCCTGGACCCCACATGGCCAACTCTGTGGTTCAAGTCCTGGATCTGGTGACTTGAAAAACACATGTGTGTGTGCACCCAAAATCCTGACATGAGTATGGAGAAGAGATTGCAGCGTAGCCATCCCTGCCAGAGGATGATCTCTCACTTTCCCTCTCCCTGTTCTCTCTCTGTCTCTAGCAAGCTCATGTGCTCTATGCCAAAAATGTAAACAAACAAAAAGCAGTGCATGCTCCATGTGCATCTAGTTTGGGTGCTTTGCATTTTCTAAGGTAGTGCTCCCACTCAGGCCAGTAGGGAACAAACAGTATGCAATGCTCTGGACAATCAGCTGCAAGTGGGAGTGACCAAAAGAGTTGTGGAAGTTGACCCCAAAGCTAGGCCCTGGCAAGGTCCACACCAATGGGGAATACTGGTGCACAAGAGCTGTATTTGAACAAATAATTCAGTCTTCAGCTTCAGTGACTTTGTTATGAGGTATTGCCAGAGACTCTGACCACAGTGCAGAGAAATGACATCCAAGACCCCTCGTTGCTATGTGCTAGTCTGTGATCTTGGCACATTTCAGGCCCCTTCTCTAGGTCTCAGTTACTCCAATAGTCAAATGAAAGTGATCTCAACACTAGTGTTCACATCCTAGGAGCCCATGAGCAATAACCCTGCCATCTGCTTAAAACAAAAAAGCAAAGAGAGGGCCAGCTTTATGGCCTGGAAGTTAAGGCAACAGGATCTTATGTGGCCAACCAAATTATTTGAATCTCCATCCTGGCAGCTTGAAAAACAAGCCAGGTGCAAGTGTGTGTGCCCAAAGTCCCAATAGGGTAGTGAAATGGAGAAGGGATTGCAGTGTTACCACACCCCACTGAGGGGGTTCTCTCTCTATATATATCTTTCTCTGGTGATTGCGCATGCCCTCTGGCAAATTAAAAAAAAATCAAAGAGATAGTTATGGGTGGTTTTCCTTAGTCAACAGTGTTGGGTCATCTTGAGGATGGAACTAGCTTTTTAAACTTGGAACATAGAATGCATTTAAATTTAAATCACCAAGAACAATCACATCAAAGCATTTTAATAAGGAGTTTCCTTTCTTGTTTGTTTTCTTTCTTTTTTTTTTTTTTTTTTTTTTTTTTTTTTTTTTTTTTTTTTTTTTTTGTCTTTTCCTCTCTTATTTCATTGTAGGAGATTCAGGTAACCTTCCCTGCAGTGTTGCTGAACAATGATCCTGGAAAGCATTAGAAGAGTTGCTGGCTGGGGTGTGTGTGTGTATGTTTTGGTTGAGGCTGTGACATCTTTCCTTCTTTATCCATTCCATTTACTGGCCAGCATACTTGTGTTACATCCCTTTCATGCCTGTCTGTGCCACCCCAGGTAAGGTTTGCCATCATTGCTTCAGAGCCTCTCAGGAGGCTCCCTGGTGGGATTGCTCATGCACTCGGCCCATATACCCTGAATTCAACTCATGTTGATCAAGAAGAGAGTGCAACAGAATAAATGTTTTAGGACTGACCTGTAGTACAATGGCTAAGCACTGCACAGAGGAAGGTAGATCCCACATGGCTGACCAGGGTTTGAGTCCTGGCCCCATATGCTTGAAAAACTTGCCAGGTGCCTGTGCACATGCCCAGGATCCCGACAGGATGGAGAGTTGAAGGACAGAGGATTATGGTGTGATGGGCCTTGTTATGGGGAGAATGCTTAAGCTCTTCCTCTCTCCTCATACTGATGTGTGCACATGTGACCTCTAGCATAATTTTTTTTTTCCCCACAAGCCAAACTTCAAATGAATTATAACATTGCAAGGAGGCAATTTTATTTGAGTGAGCTGCATATTTCAAAACAGAAATTTTGGGGTTAGCTAATCCCTTTGAAAGCATCTGGGACAAACAAAAAAACAAATGATCCTATTTATTTCACTTTGCCAGCAGTTACTATGTGAAATATCTCCAAAGCCTGACAGCAATGGCACCCACTCTTGATTTAGGAGGAAAACTTTCATGTGGAAACCTTTTTTCTTCTATTTCTTTTCTCTCATCATCTCCACCCCCCCTATTTTTTCTCCCATTTTGCTTCTTTTTACCTTCTTAGGCTTCCTCTATCCAAAGTACAAAGAACCATTTTCATTTGTAAATTTCAGTAATTTTTATATTACATTAAGAGACATTTCCGACTTAGACAATGATCATGAAGTGGTAAGTCTATTCCTAAATATTTCTTTGATTATGTAAATTTTAGTGAACTTGACACTCTAACACTCCAAGCATATACCAAGCATTTACATGATGAGCTAAGTTGCTATTTAAGATGAGCTCTGAAGTGCTGTTTATAAACCTCAGTCTTTCCTTTTTTTTCATTCCTTAGAAATTCTTCAGAAATAATCATAAAAAAGGAATCAAAGTAACTGAACAGTCATAATCTTGAAATTATTCTGACGCCCTGAACAGACAGCTACCTTTAGAAAGATGCTTTTGAAATGATGCTTTCTGGCTTCTTTTTATGTTGGATTCGTTATGTCTGTCTCTCTTAATGCACTCCATCTTCTCATTGTGCCAAGTCTGAATTGCATACTTCTTGGTGTTGGGATTAGTATAGCTAAGATGTTGTTTCCTTCATGGATTTCCATTTAGTTATGAATCTTCTGCAATGAAATTATTCGATGGAATGAGCACTTCTTATGTTAAAATATATCCTTTTTTAAAGCCACATTCCTTCATATTGCATTCTAAAAAGAAGTTGGTAAATATCTACCTATTGGGAAAGATGGCACTAAAGCAAAACATCCAAAGAGTATCCTAATGCTCTTTCACAAACTCGTGTTGCTCTGGGTGTATGCATGCATAGGTAGTGTCTTCTAAGATATGTACTACAGACCCTGTGTACAACAACCTCAAATTAGTAATCTACACAACCCATAATTGGATATATTTTTAGTTAGTGTCACTTTCTTCCCCCATCTTTTGTAGTAGAGTCATATTCTCAGTCTTTGTAGAGAACATCTAATTAGACTCCTTTCAAGAGTTAACTCCATCTAACTCTTTATCTAACCAGTATTTTACTGCCATGTAATCACCAGAGGGGTATTTAGAGTTCTGAAAAAATAAAACACACTGAGTTCTAAGAGGATAGGATCACACTTAAGGATATATCCTGTCTTCTTACCCAAAGCTTGGAAGAAATCTCTACTTAATGATTCCATATAGTCAGAACTATATCACAAAAATGACAAGTGTCTAAATAGGAACATGTTTTAAAAATCAAATAAAGGGCATCGCTTCTTTTGTTAAACAAGGGAGACACATGGCATTTTGTATACATACCTATGGGAGTTTGACCTATACCTGACTTAAACTCACACCAGGTGTGTGTGCTTGTGTGCCCAAGGTCCTGAGAGGAGAATGGAGGAGAAGGGACTGTGGCATGGCCATCCCCCCCTGGGGGGTGATTTCTCTCTTTCTGTCTCTCTGTCTCTCTCTGTCTTTCTGGCAAGTGCATGAGCCCTATAGCAAAAAAAAAAAAGGAAAAAAAAAAAAACTCTCAAAAAAGTAATAATAAAATAAAATCCCAAAAAGAGGGAGAGATGGAGAAGAGATTGTGGCATGACTATTCTCTATAGGAGGTTCTTTGTCACTTTCTCTCTCTCTCTCTCTCTCTCATCTCTCTTCTCTTTCCAGCCAGAGCACATGCATCCTCTGACAAATTAAAAAAAAAAAAAAGAGTCAATGCCAAAATTACGTTAGATCTTGTTTGAACTTTTGAAAAATAATCAAAATAATGTGCGCAGTGTATCTGCGTTTTCTTTGACACTTGGTATTTTAATGGCCACACTTGCCTACACTTTCCACCTCCTGTTTTCTCAATACCGCCTGCATATAGCCCTTCTACCTACTGCCCATGTCAACAGAAAGTAATTCTCAAGTGTTCCCCAAAACATATATTTTCACAAAACTCAAAGCGACTTAGCCAGGCATTTCTTGAATTTGCCCCCCCCCTTTTAAAATTAATTTAATAAGAATTTTTATTTTAAGAATTATTTCTTTAATTTTATTTATTATTATTTTTTTCATTTTACCTGAGAGAAGGAACATGAGAAAGCAAACTGCTATGTCCGGGATTCAAACCGCAGACAGCCAACTGTAGTTCAGCACCTTAACTACCATGCCACATGCTGGCCCCAAGTTTGTCCCCCTTTTTAAGAAGCTGGACTCTGGAGCCAGAAAGTAGGATGACCTCATGATCACTTGTAGTCCAAAGTGTAGAGACACTAAGTCTAGATAGTAGAGGAGGAATGTATTTGGACAATATCGATGTTCATAAAACAGAAGTCCAGTGAATGTAGGTAACATCTTGAACTACTTCAGGTGCACATTCCTAAGAAAGCCATAAGATATGAACAGGTTTTGTTTCCTTTTAGTGCTGACTCAGGTAAATTGGAATTTCCTATTCTCCTGGTCTATTTTATAATTTTTCACCTTCCTTAAAGTTTTAGTTTGCTATGTGGCATTTTAGCACAAGCGACTCCATTTTGGGCTGACCTGTTGTGACCTAGGACAGGAGCTAAGTCTGAAACAATGGTCTTCTATATTTTTATTTAACAAAATTAAAAGGGGTTTAAAATGAAAAACATCTAAAGAGAGGGCCAGTGGTGGTATGGTGGTTAAGGCAGCTGGATCCTACATGGCAAACTTGAAGATTCGTTTCCCAGACCTGATGGCTTGAAAATCACACCAGGTATGTGTAATTGCTTGCCCAGAATCCGTACAGGAGACTAGAGGAGAAGGGATTGAGCATGACCATGCCCCCTGGGGGGGGTGATTCTCACCCCTAAATCCCCCTCATCTCTCTCCAGTGAGCATAATGCCTATAGCGAAAGAAACAAACAAAAAGACACATACACACACACACACACACACAAAGATGTACAGAGAATCAAACAGAATCTTTTTCTTAGTCATCAGAAGAAAAAATATTATAAACTAACACTCTTTATTATATAAAGTAGGAATTCATAAGTCAAAAAGGGTTGCCCTCTCATTCTTCAATAAACTGAGTATTGATATACCCTATTCATGACTACATATACATATAATCATCCATAATATGTGTACCTTATATATGCAGATATGTTCACATTATATATTTAAGACTATATACAACATATGTGTTAACCACTGAAATGTAAGTATACATGCATACACTTAATGAAACTATATTCACTGTAATACTTACTTCCCGGTATATTTATTGTATCCACGTATACACACTTGCCAGGCTTCAGATTTATCTGTTATATATTACCTTAAGAGCTTTCAATCGGTTACAAATGTCTTTTTGTTTGTCCCCCTAGGATACTATGGGGATGGTCTAAATGCCATCATTGTGTTTGCTGCCTGTTTTCTGCCAGACAGCAATCGGGCGGACTACCATTATGTCATGGAAAATCTTTTCCTGTGAGTGATACTTACAACAAAGCACTTTGAGTTAACGTCTGTAGCATGTAATGGCAGCTAGAATACCTTTAATTAAAGGAAATAGATGATGGAGAATATTGAAGCTTTTGATAAAAAGTCAGTAAGATTTCACAATGTTGCTCAAGAGGCCAAAACCTTTAAAGGAGTTTTTTCGTCCCTTTGTTTAGATTAAACAGAGTTTGGCCTGTGTTTTAAAACACTGTAACACTTCCTTTGGGCGAAGTATTGTTTTTGTTCTCTGACGACATGTTTTTAGTTAACCAGTGGTAACTTCATTTATACTGCCCTTATTAAATCTGAGTTACCTTTGGTATTTGGTAACATTATTGACACTTTTGAAAGTCATATTTCTAATCCACACATTTTTCTAGTGTACTTGCATTAGAAAAAAGATGTCATTCAAATAAATATGCAATACTCACTCTCAGAGAAATGGTCTTAGGCACTTTTCTCCAGATGAAGAAGTAATGTACACAATCATTCTTAAATGACATACATCCTGTGATTTAAGTGTTATATAAATATGGTATTTAATAGGAGTAGGTATTTCATGTGAGAACTGAAAACATTCCTCTTTCTTCCTGTGACCAGATATGTAATAAGTACATTAGAGCTAATGGTAGCGGAAGACTACATGATCGTGTACTTGAATGGTGCAACCCCGAGACGGAAGATGCCAGGACTAGGCTGGATGAAGAAATGCTACCAGATGATTGACAGACGGTATATGGATTCCATGATTTAACCCCTACTTTGACTTCCCCATACCTAATTCCCTTTGACTTTACCAAAGATGCAATCATGTTTTAGAAACATTAAGTTAAGCATATTTGAAACAATAAATCCTAAAAATACTGATGAAAGTTACACTACTTGTCCCAAAGTTGAAATAAGGCACATTATCCTGAGCTTTTGTTAAACAGAATATCAAACTTGGTAGAGTAAGTCTGCTTTAAACTATGCATATGCTGTTGCCACAGGAAGGTGCAACTTGAGCTCGTAACTCAAAATATCCATGATGCTTTTGTCATATCCTGTGAACTTACGGCTATTTAAGTGCACTGGGATATTGTGATTCAGACAACCATTGAGTTCTTACTTCACATTATTTGTCCGTTCAAGTTAACTACTAACTCAGTGACTTCGTGGGCCTCTCCCTCATAATACTTCTATCATCCTGATTTTATTAAAGCAAAACCCTTTTTTGCCATCTACAGGGAAATTATTATAATGAACACAGAAATTTATGATATCTGCAGTATGTATGACATCCACTTAGATGTGGCTTCTTGCATGATAATATCCAAGTGCCCTGTTACATTAATTAAATTCTTTTTTTAAAAGATGCCGAGTTTTTTCTTTTCCTTTCTTAATTTCTCCATTTCTCTCTTCCTAAGAATTATTTAACTTTATTTATTTATTTTAATATAACCAGAGAGGTATAGAGTATATAAGAGAAAGAGAGAGAGAGAGACAAAAAGTGAGAAAGCAAGCTTCTAGGTCCGGGACTCAAACCACAGGTCGGCCATGTGGGATTCCAGTGCCCTTAACCACCATGACACTTGACAGCTCCTATATTAACTAAATTCTGTCTTATGATCCAAATAATCATAAAGTAGCATTGCTAAGACTGAAAAAATGTGCCAGGAAATCAAGAATTGTTAAATGGTAAATTGGAGGTCAAACAACTTCAAGATATGCTGTTACTGTTTAAAACCAAATCTCAGTAAGATCAAGTTGTCTAAGTTACTATTAAAAGTATATTAATTTCTTTTTTTAAAAAAGAAAAAAAAAGGTTTTTGCCTTAGGATGTGTGCACTCACTGGGAGGAGAGAGAAAGAAACAGAGATAGAGAAAGTTAGAAATCACCTTCAAAGGCGATGCCCAGCCACAATCCCTTCTCCATTCTCCTCCTGGGATCTTGGACATGCACACACTCGTGCCTGGCATGGTTTTCAAGCCACTGGGTCCAGGACTCAAACCATAGCTGGCCATGTGGGAGTCCAGCAACATAACTGCTACACCATCTGCTGGTCCCAAAAGTATATTATTTTCAAACTAGTAAAGGTAAGACTGACAAAAATGAAAAGTACTGTTAAACAAAAATATGTTATGATGGCTATAGATTTATACACACCAGGAATACAATCATTCTATTTTATACTTAATGCTATGGCAAAGCGAGATTTGAATCATCTCAAACTATGCCTTAAAAAACATTCTTTGTATTAACGATGGTCGTTTTATATCTTTTCATCAGATAATAGTAACTTGCCAAGAACTCCCTAAAATCACATATATTCTTATTTGGGAACATATTTTATGTTTTAGTTCCCACAGAAAATGGGTTAAGAGTAATATATATGTGTATATCTGTTTTCTTTTTCCAAAATAGGTTGCGGAAAAATTTGAAATCATTCATCATTGTTCATCCATCTTGGTTCATCAGAACAATCCTTGCAGTGACACGACCTTTTATAAGGTATCATTACTATTGTAGTGAAGTATCACTAGTAGTTTTTATTTATTTATTTATTTTTTAATTTGCCAAAAGTCTCATGCACTTGCTGGAAAGAGATGGGAGGGTATGTGGAGAGGTGCACCCCAATGGGGCATGATCATGTCATATTCCCTGCTCCATCTCTCCCTCCTTTCAGGATTCTGGGCACACACACACACACACACACATACATCTGCTGTGTTTTTCAAGCTGTCATGGACTTGAACTGCAATAGACCATGTGGGATCTAGCTGTCTTCACCACCACACCATGGGTCAGCACAGTAGTTTTTTTTAAAAAATATGTATTCAGGGGCCAGCAGGTGGCATGGTGGTTAAGATGCAAGCTTCTCACAAGGCCGATTACAGTTCAAATCCCAGACCTAAAGGCTTGAATATCACACTGTGCACATGTGCAAACATGCCCAAAATCCTGAGAAGAGAATGGAGGAGAAAGGACTGCAGCATGGTCATTCCTCCAGGGAAGTGATTTCTCACTTTCGCTTTCTGTATCTCTCTGTCTCTCTCTACTCTGGTGATGGTACATGCCTTATGACAAAAACTTAAAAAGTAATTTTTAAGTATTTGTTATTTTATAAACAATGATTCATAAGTAAGAATATCTAGGAAAAATACCTTTTGCTTCTGCCTTTCCTGGAACGATACTCTGGACTAGTCATTGAAAGTTCCTAATTAAGGGACCAGCAGATGGCGTAATGGCTACGTCACTGGACTCCCATGTAGTTAACCATGGTTTGAGTCCCGGACCCAATGGCTTAAACTCGCGCCAGGCACATGGGGCGGGAGAGGGTGCAAGATCTCAAGAAGAGAATGGAAGAGAAGGGATTGCGGCATAGCCATCCCTCTAAGGGGTGATTTCTCGCTTTCTGTCTCTCTGTCTCTCTCTGTCTTTCTGGCGAACACATGTGTCCTATAGCAAAAACCTCTCCAAAAGTTTTTAATTAAGAGTGATGATTATTTTATAATGAATATTCCCCACCCATCCTTATAAAACATGGCTTCCAAGTTGCTTACTGTAAACATGAAGGAAGAAGTGACGAGATTTTCATGTCACATTAGAAAGGGGGTATAGACCATAATTTTAAGTCTAGTAATATGTTATTTTGTAGAAAATAGAAAAGTAGAGTACATGACGATGGAAAATAAAGACTAGCCAAGGACAAAGGAGCCATATCTTGTCTTAATTTTTCCATTTCTTTTAAACAAATATTGTAGATCATCAGCGTTAGATGAAAAGTCTGGGCAGCCATTTTAAGAGCTGCTTTTTGGGCCAGCAGGAGGCATGGTAGTTAAGGGCGCTGGACTCTCACATGGCCAACCACAGTTAAAGTCCTGGACCTGGTGGCTTGCTTCCTCGCTCTCTCTCTCTTTCTCTCCTTCCCTCTCTGGCCAAATTAAAATAAATAAATATATACATACATATATACATACACAAATAAACAAACAAAGTTAAGTAAAAAATAATTCTTTAAAAAATGTATTTAAAAAAGAGCTACTTTTTGATCACTCATGAGGATTCTTTGTTTTAATTCAGTGCAACTTGATGAATATTCTCATCATTTATTTTGTTTTAGGAAGTATATAATCTTTTTTCCTAAAGAATTATTTATTTAATTTTGTTTATAATTATTATTATATTTTTAATTTGCTATAGAGCATGTGTGTTTACTAGAGAGAGACAGAGAGAGAGAGAGAAAGGGAAAGTGAGAAAGCAAAGCAGCCAGGTCTGGGACTCGAACTGTGGTTAGCCATGTGGGAGTCTAGCACCTTAACTACCACGCCATCTTCTGGCCCCAGTATTATATAATCTTTTTTCTTTCTCTTTTTTAAGAATAATTTATTTTATTTTATTACTATTATTATTATTATCATAAATTTGACCAGAGAGAGAGAGAAAATGAGAAAGCAAACCACCAGATGTGGGATTCAAACCATGGTCGGCCATGTGGGAGTCCAGCACCTCAACCATCACACTACTGCTGGCCACAAGTACTGTATAATCTTAACACTTTCAGGGTACAAATACAAGTAAGATATGACTCACAATATAGCAACAGTTGAAACAGGTAAATGAAAAAGAACAGTATTTATTTTCTGGCGAGCTTTTAAAATATAATTAAGTCTTCCTTACCATCAGGATACAGACTAGATAAACTGAAATTTTCCTTCTTAAAGTTATTAATACATTTCTAAGGGGAAAAAATGAATTCCTCACTTCAAGAAGGAAAAAAAATTATATATTAAAATCCTTTATATTTTTGAGACTAGCAAATGGCAAAATAGTTATATTGCTGGACTCTCATGTAGTTGACTGCGATTTGAGTACCAGACCGGGTGACTTAAAACTCAGGTGGGGTGCATGTGCATTCTTGCCTCAAATTTTGAGAGGAGAATAGAGAAAGGATTGTGGCATGACCACCATCCTCCTGGGAAGTGATTTCTCACTTTCTGTCTCTCTATCTCTCTCTCTGTGTCTCTGGCAAGTACACACACCCTAGAGCAAAAATCTCTCTCTAAAAAAAAAGAGAGAGAGAAGCCAGATCTTACATGGTGGCCATAGTTTGAATCCTTGGCCTGGTCATCCTGAAGCCCACCAGGCATATGCATGTGTTCTCAAGATCCAATGGGCCGGAGGACTGGAAGAAGAGATTGTGGCATGTCCAGACCCTGTATAGGAGCTCATCTCTCTCTGTCACTCCCATATGAACATATTCTATCATGAATAGAGGAGGAAAAATCAAATATTAAATATTTTAGGCAATTAGAATCTCAGACCTGGCAGCTGGAAAATCACACCAGTTGCGTGAGCTCACATGCTCAAAATCCTGAGAGGAGATTGGAGGAGAGGGGATTGTGGTGTGGCTATTTTACCTAGGGATGATTTTCCACTTTCCCTCTCTCTCTCTGTCTTCTCTGTCACTGGTGAGTGCACATGCCCTTTAGCAAAACCTTAAATTTTTTTTTAATTAAGAAGTAATAAATAAATAAGCCCGAGACCCAGCCAACATGGCACATGCTGCTAACACAGTATGCTCTGTTGGCCGAGACTATATGGGAGACCTGAGTTCAAGCCCAGTCCCTCCTGAAGGTGGGGCATGGTGGCATGCACCTATAATCACAGCAACTCAAAGATGCTGAGGCATGAGGGTCACAAGATCAAAACTGGCCTGAGGAATATAGTGTGGCCCTGTCTGGAAACAAGCCAGGTATAGTTGCATGTACTTGTAAGTACTCACTGGGAGAGAGGTGAGAGGATTACAACATAATGATATCTCGTCATTAAAAGAGGGCTAAAAAATGTTTTTAAATAAAATTTTTAGAAAGGGGAAGAGACAAATGAGTTAGCTTACAAATATATGTTTTTTAAGTTTCTTTTTTTCTTTCTTCCATCAGAGAGAGAAAAACAGGACAAAAGAGAGAGACTGTGACAGATACCCCAGCCTGGATCACAGGCACACATGTGTGCACCCAGAATATAAAAGGAGATTCCAGGGGGCAAACTGGGAACCTTTCCATATGGACCAGCTGCCCCGCATTTATATAGATTTTTATGTAAACTTACATATAAGTTTATATAAAAACTAGCCCCAAGTGTGTGAGTTTTAAGCTGCCGGTCACCGTAGGGGATCAGCACCTTAACCTCCCTGCTACCTGCTGGCTCAACACTGCTTTTGTTTTATTTAATATTTTATTTAATATATATTTTAAAATATCACCCATCTTGGTAGATTCTGAAAAAAATAACGATAATATTTTTGTTAAAAACAAATAAGCAAGTAAATGAAGCCAAGTGAATCATAAACCGGGAACTATTCGGAATGGCGGGAACCACTGGTAGTCAAGAGTATGGACTCTCGGGTTGGCCCTGAGTGCGGAAGTTAAGCACAGTACACAGAGAACTAGATCCCACATACCCCACCAAGGTTTTAATCCCAGCCTATAGCTGAAAAAACTCACTGAGCATGTGTGCAGGCATGCTCAAAATCCTTACAGGAGGGAGAAATGGAAGAAAGATTATTGCAGCATGACCACACCCCACTGGGGGGCATTTTCTCTTTCACTCTCTCTCCCTGTCTCTTCATCTCCAGAGAGCACACATACCCTCTGGCAATTAAAAATAAAAAAATGTGGACTCTAAAGTCAGACTGCCCATTAATCTGGGCTCTACCACTTATTAATGGTGTGATGTTGGACAAATATTTAACTTCACATATACCTTTAAAAAGATAATAACAGTACCTACCTCATTAGGCTGGAATAAGAACTACCTGAGTTGGGGCCAGCAGGTGGCATGGTGTTTAAGGCCCTGGACTCCCACATAGTCAACCGCAGTTCAAGTCCTGGACCTGGCAGCTTGCTTTCTCACTTTCCTTTTCTCTCTCTTTCTCTCTGGCGAGTGCACATGTCCTATAGCAAATTAAAAAATAATCATAAATTAAATAATTATTTTAAAAAATACATGAGTTAAAATATGTATACTATTTAAAGCAGTGTTTGGCTAAAAACTACATGATCTCATTAATACATGAAATATGAAAAAGTTGCACTCATAGACATTGAGAGTGGAATGGTGGTTACCGATGACTGCGGACAGTGGTTAAGGGTGGGGTGGGGGATGTTGGGCAAAGGATACAAAATTTGAATTAAATAAGAAGAATAAATTCAAGCGATCTACTATATAACATGATAGCTATAGCTAACAACAATGTGTTGTATTCTTGAAAATAGTTAAGAGTAGGTTTGAAGTATTCTCACCCCAAAGATACTAAGTCTATGAGATAAAGCATATGTTAACTAGCTCAATGTAGCTATTCTGTGATGTGTATGTCTTATACACCATAAAAACATCAATTTTGGGGCCAGCTCATAGGTTGGTGGTTAAGGTGGCTGGACCCCATATGATCAACTATGCAGTTTGAGTCCCAGGCCCAGTGACTTAACAAACATACTGGGCACATGTGCATGCATGCCCAAAAATCCCGAAGGGAGAGAGAAATCGAAAAACAATTTCAATGTGTCCATGCCCATGGACGGTGCTTTCTCACATTTCCTGACCCTCTCAGTCTCTCTCCAGCAAGCACATGTTCCCTTTGAGAAGTCTTTTAAAAATGTTCTACATCAATTAAAATATTAAATAAAACAAAAGCAGCGTTGGCCCAGCAGGTGGCATGGAGGTTAATGTGTTGATCCCCTATGGTGACTGCACAGTTTTAAGTCCCAAACCCAGCAGCTTAAAACTCACACAGGATTGGGACCAGCAGGTGGCGTGGTTGTTGAGGTGCTGAACTCTCACATGGCTGACCATGGTTTGAGTTCCAAATGCTAAACTCTCACATGGCTGACCATGGTTTGAGTTCCAGATCTGGTGACTGGCTTTCTCAATTTCTCTCTCTTTCTCTGTCTCTGGCAAACACATGTGCCCTATAGCAAAAATTAAACTAAAATCATAATAATAATTAATAATAATCAAAGCAGAATCTGGCACTTAGTAGCTATTCAGTCTTAGCTCTTCTCAGTAAGGCTGCTGCAGCAAGGTGTTAAGTGTATTATATTTTCAAGAAGAGGCAATGGCCTTAGAAGGGATGAAGTAGTTACTAATGACACATTTTTCTTTTCTTTTTTAGTTCCAAATTCAGCAGTAAAATTAAATATGTGAGTAGCTTATCAGAACTCAGTGGGCTGATCCCCATGGACTGCATTCACATTCCAGAGAGCATCATCAAGTGAGTCCTGATGGCCTCAAAGATTGATTATGAAATAGTGCACGTGTGGAGAGGGGGCTGGGGACATCTTGGTTTTGGAACAAAGGGGAAGTGGCATTAACTTATTTTTAAAGCAAATATTAAATATTCTCCAACAAACGTTTTTTCCCTGTAAGCTATAGATAACTATTCTATTCTTTCAGATCTTCTTTCATACCATCTTTTTCTTGGAGATGATTTATTATTGCTTAATTTTCCCTTGAATATCATTTCCACTTTGGAAAAAGCTTAAATTTAATATTAACCAGTACGTTTGTTACTTGTACTCCTCTTTGCATAGACACAATTATGCCTTGCATCAGTTGGATTTCTTTGTTATCTTATGTAATTTATCTGTATGACTCCAGTAATTTAAAAGGAGAAAGAAAAAAAAAAAACAACTTTGTTTTGCTTCTAAATCTTTATTTTATTTTATTTTATTTTTTCATGGTCGCCTTCAGGTGCAAGATTAGATAGAGGGCATTTACCCACTGGGTAAAATGATTTCCTTGCTAGGTACAGGGTTTCACAGCGGTCCTCTGTATCCGGACAGCATGGGTACTGAAGGTCTCAGGATTATGCTGCAAAAATAGAGTAAATGTTAATGGAACGGGTACTTGGAGCTGGGATTTTAAAACAGGGATAGTGGAGAATGAACTCTCCTATCTGGTGCATTGTTGCAAAAAATGATTGTTTTCTACACGTCATGTTTTTTTCTCCCACTGCCTCTGATCACTCGTTTTATGTTAGAATTGAGAGGGACTTCTCCATCAGCTCAAAGGAAACAGACAAGTAACTCCCATCTTCCTCCCTAAAATGGATTGCAAAATGGGCCTCTCAATTTGGCCTTCCAAAAAAGAGGCCCCTATGTTTAAAAAGAAAAAAAAAAAGGCAGAGTATATGGAAGGAAGGATTTCCTTTAATGTGCATTGCGTGTCATACACAGAGGTGCGCATGTGTTTTATTTCTTAAACACTCATTGTAAACCCCCCTTTTACAGATGCCAGGAAGGTAACTAAGTAAAAAGTAATTTGTGCAAAATATAAGTAGGAACCAGAGAGAAATAAATAGAATTCCAGTCCCGATCAGCCTGGCATCAAAACTCCGGTGCTGTTTTCTAGTAGAGCCCTCTGCCTCCCTGTAAGTGTCCATCTAAGTTCACAACTCAGCGTGGAGTACTGAGTGAGCTTACCATGCTCAGCTGGCTCAGTTGAATCAAGCAGTGTTCTAAGAGCCCAACGATGGCTTCAGTCCTCAGTAGCGTCACAGAGTTCCCACAACCAGCACACTCCAGAGCCCTGGCCTACTACCTCAGAAAGGTGCACCCATCTTCAAAATCCACTCCTATCCTTTAAATCTAAAAAGTGCCAGAGCACTAACCTCCCACGATGCCATCTTCCTTTGCAAAGGTGACGAGGATATTTTCTCTTTCAGTGGGATTGACCCCTAGCCCCTATACAGGTAAATAATACCAGAGTGCTACAGCCAGAGACAATAAAATGAAAAAAAAAAAAAAAAGAATATTAGAGAATTAGATTTCACCTTTCCTTCTGTCTCTCAATGTCTCTGAGACTTTAGACAACCTATTAAAATTCTCTGAATCTCTGGCCAGCAAATAGTGTGGAAGTTAGAGCAGCTAGATCCCACATGGCCAGTTGTGTGGTTTGAGTCTTGGACCCCGTGACTAGAAAGTCACGCTGGGTGCATATGCATGCATGCTCAAAATCCTGAGAGGAGAAATGGAGAAGATGGCAGTGTGCCCCCCCCCGCCTCGTCCCCAGAGGGTGATTTCTCACTTTCTCTCTGGTGAGCACATGCCTCTTATAACAAAACAAACAAACATTCTCTAAATCTCAGTTTAGATTTAGATCTAAGTCTAAACCTAAATCTCAGCTTCGGTATCTGTAAAATGGGGAAGCAACTGGCACTTCTTGGAATGGTCCTGAAGACTGAGTAAGAAGTGTAGGTCAGGCATTCAGGAAGCTCAGAGCTCAAGTCTCTAGATTTGGCAACCCAGAATGTTATTTATTACAATCATGTTCTTTTAGAGACTTCCTATCATATAGGAAAGTTTAACTGAGAATTAACTGTGCCCTGGGCATTTTTCATTCATTTACACACATGAGTTTTCAAAAGTTTCATTTGGAAAGATTTTCTTTCGGAGGAGGAAATGAAACACCATTCATGTCCTCCCCAAACGTCCATGTGTGTGTGCTTTTTTTACCCCTTTGTCCTAATCTGTCTACTTGGGATGTCCTTCTTGCCATTTCTATTACTTGTCTTCATTGTCTCAATTTCACATTATACAAATTTGAAGTTGCTACAAGCCATAGCTCCTTTTTATTACTAAACAGTATCCAAAAGATCTGATCTTAGCCAATCTCAAGCATTCCGCTAGGAGAGAGCCTGTCATCAAAGGGTTAAACAAAACAAAACAAATCTTGCCCAATCTGGAATCTAAGTTATAGTCATTGATTCTCAATATTTATGGCAGTTACTTCCTATAAAGTCACTGCAGACACTTAATTACCAGGTACAGAGCTGTTGTTTCAGGAGGAAATAAAGGGTTAGGTTCCTATGACCTTCTGACCATAGTGTTTTTGTCAGTCAATCAGTATATGACCTCGTTTTCTGTTTATTTCTCTTTAAAGCTGTTGATGTATTACTACTGTTAAACTCACAGCAAACAGCACTGTCAATTGTGCCTAAAGAGAGTTTATTCAACACGGACTTTCTCCATGAGGCATATTGCAGCCTTCTCGCTCTTGGAAACCCTAGACCTCACAGCATTATCTGTGGCAGCCATTGTGAAGAGCAAAATAGCCAAGAAAAAGCACAAAAGTGAGAAATACACTTACACACAGTATGAAAGAAGGCAGGGCCTCACCCTTCAAGTGGCAACATGGATATTGGGTAACTCGAATTTTTTGCCACTCTGTACGTGTCCTCCAGTGACCAAAAAAAAGTGTCCCAAGTATTGATTGGGAGGCTTACAAATACATGCAGTGAACAGGCAAGTTTGCAAATGAGGGTTGAATATATGTATTTATAAATTGTCGATAATTACTTATATCACACGAAAGGAAGATTTCTCCCCAAAGCCCATGTGATGATTACTTGGTTAGGCTTTCTCTCTCACACTCTGACCACCGTTTCAAACTCTTAACCTGCCACATTTCCCCATCTGTGTGTTCCTTTTCCTCATGCCATTCATTTTTTATCTCGTAAGGTACGATGAAGAGAGATCTTATAAGAGAAGTGTGAGGTAAAGTCTCCTGGTCTACAGTGTATGCTGGGCACTCTGTGTATGTGTGTGTACACCAGTGTTTGACTCGTGGGTGACCTCAACACGCTAACCAGAGCAGGAGGTTGTTGCGTCAGTCACTTGTACACCATCCCCGGTCTTTGTCTTGTGTATAAAGCTGTTGAGGTCAACCTAATTTGCAACGGAAACTACTAAACCAGATACATCCCTGACTTGGCCTCGCTGCAAGCTAACTTTACCAGTACCCAACTGATGTGGCTGTTTCAGCTTGATTCAGCCAGCATGTTTCTGATCTGCTCGCAAGTTTTATATCCACCTTTATGAGGAAGTTTGCAAAGTAGATGAACATAAACACTGACTGGGAGGAAAGGACTCCATATTTAATGGAAAGAGCGTGTCTCAGCGCTCCAGAGGACAGTTTTTAGAAGCGTATACACACCTCTTATGTTTGGCACTGCTTTGCTGGGTGACTCTCTCATGCTCTGCTTGCTTCTTTTTTTGCTTTTCTACACCAATAACTTTTGCTCATGCAGACTGGATGAAGAACTGAGGGAAGCATCAGAAGCAGCTAAGTAAGATTCGGTTTTCATTTAGCAGCTGGTGTGACGTTGGCTTGCATTTCAGGAATGAAATGGGAGAATTTGCATGCTTGATATTTTATTCTTGCATCCTGGTTATAATACTTCCCTTGAAAAATTCCCTTTCTCCCATGATAGATGCAGTCTCTGTTATTCTTACTACAGTCTGTTTCCCACGATCTTCAGGAATGCATTGGTCACTGTTATTTAATATTTTTAACATACATGCAATTCTAGGCACCGCAGCCAAAGAACACGTCCCAGGTGCTGCCACGCAGAGTGTAACAGCCAGAGGACCACTAGATCTACTGAGGCAGCAGAATCTAACTCACACTAATGGGAGGAAATGATAGCAGATTGAAATATAGAAGATGTTTGCAGAAATAATTCTATGGCTTTCCAGATTTAACACAATAACAGCATTTAGTGATTTGGAAATACTGCTTAACTAACAGCTTCCAAGCTCTCTTGACAAATAGCAGAAAACAAAGTCACTACTTGGGGCAAGCAGGTGGAGCAGTAGTAAAGGCCCTGCACTTTCATGTGACCAACCATGGTTTGAGTCCCAGACCTGGAGAGTTGAAAGTCACACTGGGCATATGTGTGTACCCAAAATCTTCAGGGGAAAAGGGATTGGGGCCAATCCCCTTGAGGGGTGATTTCTCACTTTCTGTCTCTGTCTCTCTATCTCTCCAGTAGAAACATATAGCCTATAGCAAAAAATTTTCAAAAAAAAAAATTTACTACTCACTGTTGTTAAAGTATGATTATTTTTCCTTTTTTTGAGAGGTTTTTGCTATAGGGTGCATGCACTCGCCAGAAAAACAGAGAGAGACAGAGAGACAGAAAGCCAGAAATCACTTCCCAGGGGGAATGGTCACTCCACAATCCCTTCTCTTCCATTCTCCTCTCAGGATCTTGGGCATGCAAGCAAACGTGTCTGGCATGAGTTTAAGCCACTGGATCCAGGACTCGAACCACGACACTACTACATGGGAATCCAGTAACATAGCCATTACACTAACTGCTGGTCCCAAAGTATGATTTTCAAAAAAGACAAAATCATAACTCTCATGCAAATATCAAATGAACACATGACAATTATTTTACTCAACTAATTATCTAATGAGGGAACTAAGGCCTTTAAACCCATTCAAAGAGTATTTGAGGGGGCTGGCAGGTGGCGTGGTAGTTAAAGAAGCTGGGCTCCCACATGACCGAACACAGTTCGAGTCCTAGACCTGGCGGCTTACTTTCTCACCTTCCCTCTCTCTTTCTTGGGTCAAATTTAAAAAGAGAATAATAATAAATAAAGTTGAACAAAATCATTCTTAAAAAAACAAACCATTTAAAAAGCTAGATACCTATAGGTAGTTTACAAAAGAATGATTGGTTAAGATTGTTGGGTTAGATACTAAGGAAAAAAAAAAGATATTTGGGTTAGATACAAATCTGGCTAATGCCCTGGGACCAGCAGTTAGTGTAATGGCTATGTCGCTGGACTCCCACGTAGTCGACCACGGTTTGTGTCCCCGACCCGGGGGCTTTAACCTCACGCCAGGCACATGTGCGTGCATGCCCAAAATCCCGAGAGGAGAATGAAGGAGAAGGGATTGCGACGTGGCCATCCCC